GACACTCTGCCCAGCCGAACATAAAATTAAAATGAAGAAATCACAAAAGTATATTAATTCAACATAAAATATAAAAATTAACTGATAACTTGGATATAGATAGCAGTATCTCTGAATAGAGGAACAAAAGGTGGTATGGGTGCTCAGTAGAAAACAAACCTGACACTTTCTTGGCTGGCGGGATGCCAGACAGCTTTTCTCTCCTGGAGTTGCTGCTTCCCTGGCAGGCCGGCAAAATTTGCTGCACAGTCAGGTCGACTGAAGAGGGCAAGACTATGGTCGTCAGCAGTTCTGTGTCCTACCGTTTTTTTCAGCAAATATGTATTGTCATCTGTGTGCTCACTGCCACATTCCTTTAGCCTCCCAAGTATTTACAATATGGACTAAACCCAAGCACAAAAAATCCAGTGCAGGCATACCTCAGAGATAAACTTGGGTGGGAGTTTGGTTCCAGACCAGAATAGTATGATAAAAGTTAGGTCACATGAATTGTTTCTTTCCCAGTGCAAATAAAAGTTATGTTTACACTACACTATAGTCTATTAAGTGTGCAATATCATTATGTCTTTAAAAAGTACATACCTTACTTTTAAAATACTTTATTGCTAAAAAAAAAAAATGCTAACAATCGTCCGAGACTTCAGCAAGTGGTAATCTTTTTGTTAGTGGAGGGTCTTGCCTTGGTGTTGATGATGTTGATGGCTGCTGACTGATCAGGGTGGTGGTTGGTGAAGGTTTGGATGGCTGTGGCAATTTTTAAAAAGACGACATGAAGTTTGCTTCATCCATTGACTCTTCTTTTTGTGAAAGATTTCTCTGTAGCACTCAGTGCTGTTTGATAGTATTTTACCCACAGTAGAACTTCTTTCAAAATTGGAGTCAATTCTCTCAAACCCTGCTGCCAAGTTTATGTAATATTCTAAGTCCTGTGTTGTCATTTCAATGATGTTCACAGCATTTTCACCAGGAGTAGATTCCCTATCAAGAAACCACTTTCTTTGCTTATCCATATGAAGCAACTCCTCATCTGTTCAAGTTTTTTTTTTTTTTTTTTGAAGTCTTGCCCTGTTGCCCAGGTTGGAATGCAGTGGTGTGATCATAGTTCATTGGAGCCTGGAACTCCTGGGGTCAAGCAATCCTCCCACCTCAGCTTCCCAGTAGCTGGGACTAGAGGCACACACCAGTATGTACTGCTGATTTTTATTATTTTTGTAGAGACAGGGGTCTTGGTATATTGCTCAGGATAGTCTTGAACTTCTGGGTTCAAGTGATCCTCCTGCCTTGGCCTCCCAAAGTGCTGGGATTACAGGCATGAGCCACCATCCCCCCATGCTCCCCCATCCAAATTTTATCATGAGATTGCAGCAATTCAGGCACATTGTCAGGTTCCACTTCTAGTTCTCTTGCTATTTCTACTCCATTTGCAGTTACTTCCTCCACTAGAGTCTTGAACCCCTCAAAGTTAACCATTAGGATTGGAATCCACTTCTTCCAAACTCCTGTTAATGTTGATATTTTGATCTCCTCCCATATATCATGGATTTAAAAAAAAAAAATTTTTAGAGCCCATGACAATATGAACAAATATTCTCAATGGTATCTAAAATGGTGAATCCTTTCCAGAAGGTTTTAAATTGACTTTGCTCAGATCCATTAGAGGAATCACTATCTATGGCAGCCATAGCTTTATCAAAAATATTTCTTAAATATTAAGACTGGAAAGTTGAAATTACTCCTTGAACCATGGCATGCAGAATGGATATGGTGTTAGCAAGCATGAAAACAACATTGAACTCCTTATACATCTCCATCAGAACTCTTGGGTGACCAGGCGCATTGTCAATGAGTAGTAATATTTTGAAAGCAATCTTTTCTTCTGAGCTGTAGATCTCAACACAGGGCTTCAAATATTCAGTAAACCATGCTGTAAACAGGTGTGCTGTCATCCAGGCTTTGTTGGTCCATTTATAGAGCACAGCCAGAATAGATTTAGTGTAATTCTTAAGGGCCCTAGGATTTTCAGAGTGATAAATGAGCACTGGCTTCAACTTAAAGCCACCAGGTGCATTAGCCTATAACAAGAGCGTCACCTGTCCTTTGAAGCTTTGAAGCCAGGCATTGGCTTCTCTCTATGGCATGCACTTCCAATATAAATGTGTTTCATAGATGTTGAAAGTCTTTTGTTTAGTGTAGCCACCTACCTCAATGGTCTTAGCTACATTTTCTGGATAACTTGCTGCAGCTTCTCCATCAGCATTTGCTGCTTCACCTTGCACTTTTATGTTATAGAGACAGCTTCTTTCCTTAAACCTCATGAACTAACTTCTGCTATCGTCCAACTTTTCTTGTTCCTTTTCCTCACCTCTCTTAGCCTTTATAGAATTGAAGAGACTTAGGACCTTTTGGATTAGGCTTTGGCTTAAGGGAATATTGTGGCTGATTCAATCTTTTATCCAGACCACTCAAACTTTCTCCATATCAGCAATAAGGTTGTGTTGCTTTTATATCATTTGTATGTTCACTGGAGTAGCACTTTTAATTTCCTTCAAGAATTTTCCTTTGAATTCACAACTTGGCTCTTGGGCATAAGAGGACTAGCTTTCAGTCTATCTTAGCTTATGTCATGGATTCTTAAAGTTAATTATTTCTAGTTTTTGATTTATAGTGAGAGATGTTTGACTCTTCCTTTCACTTAAACACTTAGAGGCCACGGTAGGGTAATTAATTGGTCTAAATTGTCCTAATTTCAATATTGTTGGGGACATGGCAATAAGAGCCAGTGGAACAGTCAGAATACACACAACATTTATCAGTTAAGTTTGCTATCTTACATGGGCATGGTTTTTGGTGCCCTAAAACAATTACAATAGTAATAGCAATAATCACTGATCAGAGATCACCGTAACATATAATAATAATGAAAATATTGAGAGAATTACCAAAATGTGACAGAGACACAAAGAGAGCACATGCTGTTGGTAAAATGGCTTATGAAAGACTTGCATGATGCAGGGTTGCCATAAACCTTCAATTTGTAAAAAAAATGCAGTACATCTGAGAAGTGCAATAAAACAAACTGTAATAAAATAAGGTTTGCCTGCAGAGGTACCTGTTTGGCCTTTGGTTCTGTTTAACAACAACAACAACAATAAAAACCCAGAAACATTAAAAAGAATTAAGTTCTGAGTAGTAGCTCCTCATTTAAACCTAAATTTTAATGGCAAAATGAAATAGCCATAAGTCTTGCCCCTGCCAGTCTTAGAGATTCTTATTGCAGGTATCCTGAATAGGTGTATTAAGTGCAAAATTTTGTGGGTGTGTCTATTTTCTGACATAAACCTTTTAGCTTTCATCATATTCTCAAATTGAGTTAATAGTCAAATAAGGTTGAAAAGGAGAGAAACAACAACAATGTCAGGAGAGCTTACCTTATAGGACAAGCCCCTAGCTTCTAGTGGGAGTTGAATTGTAATGCAAACTCCTGTTTATCCAGTGTTTATGAATGTTGTATTTTTATAACAGTCTACATGTATTACCAGATTTATAGTTACAAAAATACAAGAAAAAGTCACTATGAAAACATCATTTTCCTCTGAAAATTCAGGTGGCACTTTAGAATCTTATATATATCAAATGCAAGAAATCAACTGCTTTTGGACTCCAGGACAGTCCCTCATATTTGTATGCCCATCACATTCCTACAGAGCTGCAGCCATGGGAATCAAGTTAAGAAACTTGGATCACAGATTCCATGGTTCTTAGACCAGGAAGGGAAAACTATTGCCCAGAATATTCAATAACCAGGGCACCGTGGTCATAATCAGCTGATGGGAAATAGCTTACTCAGGGTTGCTTTCCTAACCCCCAAAATCTTAATTCACCCAATTTGGGAGTAGATTGTTTTTTGTTGTTTTTAATTTGACTTTGGTATACAGTCTGAAATTCTAATGAGAGATACAAGTGACTAAAGCACATATTTCAGGAATGTGATCATTCTCTCTTTAGTATAAATTCTTCAAAATAAGATTCTATGTAAGGAAAAGAGACAGATGTTTTTAAGAAAAGTTAAGGCAAGAGCATGGATTGTTTTGGGTACTTACAGCCAGCATTGTTAGGGAGGGCTGCAGTCCTGTATCCAAGTTTGTTTTTATTATTTTGTCTCCCTGGATACCTGGAGAAAGTGATGGGAGGACAACAATAACTCTATATGGTGACTTTAAGATATATCCACAAATTCTGTGATCTTCTACCCATCAAGAGGTAGAGCTTAATTCCCTTCCTGTTGAGTGTGGGATGTGCTTAGTGACAAGTACATGGCCTATAATGAATAGAACATGGCCAAAGTAACTGTGACTTATAAGACTAGGTCATAAAAGGCATTGCAGCTGCCTCCTTATTCTTACACTTGTGCTGGGAGGAGCTAATGCAGCCCCACGGAAAGGCCCATGTGATGAGGAACTGAGGCCTCCTGCCAACAGCCACATGAGTGAACCATATTGGAAGTGGACCCTCCAGCCCCAGCTAAGCCTTCAGATGAGAGATCCTGAGCCAGAGCCACTTAGCTAAGCCACTCTCAGATGACCCATGGAGACGGCATGAGATAATAAAAGTGTATTGTTTTAAGATGTAAGTTTTGGGGTAATTTATTATACAGCAATAGATAACTAATATGCCAAATATCAACTTTTTTCTGTACCAGGAAAGATACTTTTCTTATTCTTTTATCACATTCTTGGCTCTTGTTGCTAGTCCTGCCCTTGGACTAGTGGCATGATTTATATTGTTGAGCTTCATAATGGGCTGAGTAGACTTCTGTGAATAGACTTGGAATGTAACCATCATTTGTAACCTTGTTTCTGTGTATTCAGAGTTTATAACAATAGACAAATGAACTTTTGAAACAGGGCCCACTTATAATCTTGGTAGTACCTGCAGTTCTGCTAGTTATTGCTCAGTATACCATTCTTTTATAGGAGACTTCGTCATTCTTTCCAGTCTGAAAAAGTTTGAACTTTTTTTACATAGCAGATGGAAAAAGTTGCCAATCATTTAGCCCATCTTTCAACCAGGTAAACCCATAATATATAGATTGTTTAGGCAGAAACCTGTCAGATCAGTTGCAAGATAACATACCTTGGTGTAGTTAAAAGGAATAGACACAAAATATCCTATGTCATAGTATCTATCTCCAGATGTCTCTTGAAAAAATGACAAATCTAAAATAATATGATAGCTAACATTTACTTAAGGCTTGTTTGTGCCAGGCACTATGCAGGGGACCTGAGCTCATGTAATCCTTACAGCATCGCCATGAAGATGGTAGTGATTAAAAGCAAGGATTTTAGAGTCAGACTGCTTGTGTTTGAGTCCTGGATTTACTGTTTATAGTCATATATGGTCTCTGGAAAACTATGTAACCTCTTTGTGCTTCAGTTTTCTTATCTGTATAATGGGGATGATAATAGTACCCACTTCACAAGGGCCATGGTAAGAATTAAATAAGGTAATACATGTAAAACATACAAAACTTAGCACACATAGTTCCTAGCACATAATAAGTGCTCAATCAGGGCCAGCTATTATTTTTTTGTAGATGAACACAAGATCTCAGGGAGGTTAATTATCTTGATCAGGGTCATGCAGCTAGCAAACAGAGCAGGAACACAATTCAGACCAGTTTTGTTTCAGATCCCTTAATTATTATGCTGTCCCCCTCAGTTTCTTTCTGCACAAAAATGGAATGATCTGCAGAAAAGCGTCTAGACTCCTTGAAGCATGTTAGCAGAGATCCCCATTTCATATATCAAGGATTTGCTCAGCACCTTGAGAGACTGGCATCGTCCTGTAAAATCCCCCTTGGAAATGAGCACAAAAAAAGTGAAAAAGTTTTTTAAAATTGAAATCTGGGGGCTGGGCATGGTGGCTCGCGCCTGTAATCCTAGCACTCTGGGAGGCTGAGGTGGGAGGATTACTTGAGCTCAGGAGTTCAAGACCAGCCTGAGCAAGAGTGAGACCCCGTCTCTACTTAAATAGAAAGAAATTAGCCAAACAACTAAAAAAAAAGTGGAAAAAAATTAGCTGGCCACAGTGGCACCTGCCTTATAGTCCTAGCTACCCGGGAGGCTGAGGCAAGAGGATCGCTTGAGCCCAGGAGTTTGAGGTTGCTGTGAGCAAGGCTGGCACCACGGCACTCTAGCCTGGGCAACAGAGTGAGACTCTGTCTCAAAAAAAAAATAAAAAAAGAAAATCAAAATACGGGAAAAGGTACTACTCAGTTGACAGGTTCAAATGCTACATATTCCCCATCCTGAGAATACCTTTCTCTATTGGAGTATGTGGCTGTAGTAGGTTCCCATAGGATGTTTTGGATGTGTCCTGTTATACTTTTCAGGAGGGGCTGAAAGCAGTTGGATGTCTATGAACAAGGGTTAGTGATGTGATACACAGCTACAGTGAGTATAATAGTTTCTTCCTTCTGTTGGTTACTCTGTTAACAGTTTCAATGTAACCATTCCTCCAAGGAAGAGAAAGAGAAGGACACAAAATAGATAAGAGACTTGCCCAAGGTTGGGAAAAGGCCCCTTTTTGGACAGAGAGGAGATAAAGGACAGGTCCCTGGCCCAAGAGCCCACCTATCCTATCAGGGAAACCAACCTGTAAGCCAAAACCTACACTTAATCAAGTCCATTATTGCCATACCTTTGTTTTTGTTTTCTCTTAGTTTTTAAAGTAAATGTTCCTATGGGTTTCTCTAACCATGCCTGGATGAAATTAGAGGGAATAGGAGGCCCTAGACGGGATGGGGGTTTAGGGAGTAAACATATTAGCCCTGGAATCTGGAGATGGTGGCTGGGCTGGAGGGGCTTAAATGAAGTTGAGGGTAAAGGCTGCCTTTGGGAGTGCTTCGTCATAGACAAGAGCATACGTGAGAACTCAGAGAACCTGGTTCAGCTTCTAATTTTGTCATTTATTCTCTTTGACCCCTAGCAGCGTAATATTGCTGAACTCATTTTCTTGTCTTTAAAAAGTGGGAAATAGTATTTGTCCTCATAGGGACACTGTAAGAATCAAATGAAATTTTGTATGTGGAAGGATTCCCTTACCAACTTACCTGAACTAAACTACAAAGTAAAGGTACGGGCAAATGCTGGTTGTCAAGAATCCACCACTTATCTGTGTCATTTTAGGATTCCTAAACCCCAGTCCGTGGTTTATTAATGACACATTCTGACTCATTTAGAGCTCCTCTAGATGACCACCACACATCACTAATAATTACATTATTTCTATCCTACACTGCATTTGTAGCACCTGGTATCATGCTGTGGGAGGAGCCCTGTAAATTTTCATGGATTAATATATTAAAATATTTTAATCATAGAGTCCATCCATAACTTTAAATTCCCCTCTAATATAAACATTTCTATTTCTTTAAGCTGGTGTGTAAGGTCATTTCTAAGACATTTTTAGTGATGAGATCAATGTGTCTCATAATAATTGGTGATTATTAATACACTAACAGTTTATATTTTTACTAGATCTATTTCAAACGTTTATGAATTAAGCCAGGACAAGGAAGCAACTGCAAAGTGACTCTTTTGTGGCCTTTAACAACTGGTGACTTTAAACAATGAAGGCCATTGTGTAAATTCCCTGGAGGAGTTATTGTGAGGATTAATTAGATTTAAATCTGCAAAGTGCTTTGAACTTTCCCCAGAATTCCTTTATAAATAAAGATGGCATTAATTCTTTTTTTTTTTAAAAAGTATCTTTATGTTGGTCTCCCTAGAAACAAATGTAACAAGTTAATCTGCTATTCAACTGCCTGTGTTCCCTGAAGCGAAAAACCCAAGACTAAGCCAAATCTAAATTTCCTTTAGTGGTTTTAATCTGACTGCAGAAGCACACACGACTGAGCAAAATTTACTACCCTAATCACAAAGATCTTGGTGCATAACTCACATGATACAATAATGTCTCATAATCGCCATGCCACATGGTAATTAAATAGAAATTACTGTAATTATTACAGCTATTTTATACTGACCAACAAAGTTTTACTCTCTTCTTTGTTATATTTTAACAATTTACATTCTGTTCACTTACAAATTGGGTTTCAGGCAGCCTTCCCTTTGGTAGTTCTATCTTATCTCCAAACAATATAAATGCTGAAAAAATTGCCTGATTCCAGGAACTGTTTAATCCTCATTGTATGCACAGATACATACAGACATTAGTCTCCAGGTCTTCTCTGATCTTAATCCTGTCCTCAATGACCCACTCAGGGTATGCTGTCCCTACCTCTCACCCAGAAGGAACAGTTCTGAATATTCTGAGTGTTGGGCGTGAGGCTGTAGAAACTCTGGAGCAGGCCAGGTGAGCCCTAGGGAACAGTAGGATAAGAGGCCTATTGTAAATGAGGAACCAGTCTGGCAGGTGACCAACCTGGTTTGCTTAGGGCTAAGGGAGGGTTCTCAGGACAGGAGACTTTCAGTTTACTGGGAAGAATTTACCTGGCCCTGAGAATAGATTCTGGAACCCTGATACTGGCTGAGTCTGCTAAGTGGGGAGAGAATCTTACCTGGGAAAGATACCTTGTTCCTTTTGTGCCCTGCAGCACACTGGACTGTGTGTTCTCAGAGAACTCTGGACATGACTCCTGTTACATTGTGATGGAAGAGGTCAGAAATGTCCAACAGGGAGGCCAGCCACACCCAGGCAGGGGCCCCATGGCACTAGGGCCCTGTTAGAGCCATCACTGTTCGGCTCAGTTCTGCAGCTTTGCAGGTGTGAAAACTGCGCCTGCGGATCAGGCTGTGGAAAGCAATGCATGCCAAACAACTGCTCAAGAATCTGAGTAAGTTACTCTGGTGGTTGATATCTTAATTACCCTGGGGATATACCTTTCCTGTTCCCCTAGATGCCCCCTTCACAGACCAGTGATAAGAGAAGCCAGGTTACCTAAGAATAGAGCAAAGACGATGGGAGCTTTAAAAGACATTGCTTCCAGTTGTACCCCTGTTTTCCTGCTGGGGTGCTCTTCCTCACCCTCTGTATCTGGCTAGCTTCTGTTTAGCCTTCAAGGCTTATGTTTAACCCCCACCCCTGGGATTCTGCCCAATCTCCCCCAATCCCTTCCTCCTCTTTTTTTCTCTTTCTTCTCTCTCTCCCCCTCCCTTTCTCTCTTCCTTCTTTCCTTCTTTTCTTCAACACATATTTGAGTGTCTGTAATATGCCAGTCATTAAACCAGGCTCTGGAGCTCTAGAGAATGAGAGAAAGTCTAGATGATATGCCATCCCCCAATAGTCCTGCATACACATTACAAATTCTTACACTCTTTCACTATGTTTTCCCTAGATTAAAGCAGACTGTTGGCATTTATATCTATATGTAAATTTATGTCTAGTCTTCCTGGAAATTTTTCCCCAGGCCCCCATCAGGTGAAGTCTGCCAATAACCAGCCCCATCCATTGTGTACTGATTGTTGTAATGTAGGCCAGGAAATTCACTTAATACTACTCTAGCTGCCTTTAGTCCTCTCAGTTGTGTTTAGTCCTGAGTTGTGACCTCAAAGCTTGTAGCCCTGTCTTCATTTTATAGTTTGGATATTTTTATTCCAAAGCGTATCACTTTGCACTTGTTCCCATGAGATTTCTTTGTCAGTTGTCTGATCACATGGTCAGATTTATAGGCTGTTCTGATTATCCAGCCCAGGGATTGTCGAACTTTTTTTTTTTAAAGGCCAGATAGCATTAATAAATATTTCAGCTTTGCAACAATACCCGGGTGTCAGTCAGTTACTCAGCCATAGAAGCTAGTAAACAAATGAGTGTTACTGTGTTCCAATAAAACTTTATTTATGGAAACTGAGATGTGACTTTCATATACTTTTCATGTGTCACAAGATACTACTTCTCTTTCAATTTTCCCCCCACCATTAGAAAATGTAACAATCATTCTTAGATTGCAGGCTGTATAAAAACAGGCACAGGCCAGATCTGGCTCAGTGTTGCTGACCCTGGTTCAGGCTCATTACTGTTTAGAAACGTTGTGAGAGATTTTACCTCAGATGCTCTCCTCTAGATCATGTACGTGTGGCTTCATGTGTCCCTCCCTAGCACAGACGCCTGAGGATTCAGGCCGTTTTCTTGGTTTCATCAATCCTCACTTACCAATATACTATGAAAGCAGCAATATTTAGAACCCCAACTGTTTTGAGTTAGGTAGGGTAGGGCTGGGGGCCCAGAATCCACCAGAATGCTTGCTTGTGGCTACCCAAGCCTCTCAGTGGCTCCTGTTTGGACCTTTCACAATGGAAATCTGATTGTGTCTCCAGCTTCCTCCACCCTTCCAGTCTCAGCTCAGGCACTCTGCTCTTGCCCTCCAAGCTGCAACCATACTAAACTTGTGTGTGTGGCTCTGACCGCAGCCTTTTCATGTGCAGCTTACTTACTTGGAATGCCTTTCTTCACCACTCCTTTATCTAGTGAATTCTAGGTAAGCTCTAGAGCTCTCTCCCATGGCACCCATGACACCCCAAGGCTGGATGAGCCCATTTGTGACACGCGCTCACATCTCACTTAGTAATGTTATAGTCATTAATGGCATTATTTCACCAATGGCTGCCTGTAACTCCCTTGTTAGACTCTAAGCTCTGTGGGAGTAGGGGCCTGTATTTTTGCCACCACTGTCTCCTGGCACACAATAGGTGCTCAGCAAGCACCCTAGTAGGCCTCAGACTGTTGGCGGGGGCATTGATGCCTGTGACATCCCCCCCATCCCCCTTACTGGCAGAGTGGACTCAAAGTCCTTTTCTATAAAATGGAAATAATGACTAGTGTCATTAAGTTGTGGTGACTTAAATGAGATAATGTGCCTGGCACATGGCCTGACTCAGTTACTGCTAGATTAGTGTTAGTCCCCTCGCCCATTCCTCTTATTCATGTCAACTCCAGGTTGCCGGACACCCAAGTACCACTTGGATTCCCCAAGCACACAGGACTCCACCTTCCTGATCAGAACTGCACTGTTTCCACTGAGAAATCCAGAATTAGAAATATGACCACCACACCCTTTGCATATCTGCTGCCTTCCCAGGAGCTGTCACTTGGGCCTTCCACTTCCCTCCCCCGACTGGAATCACCAGGCCTCACCCATTGTTTTTGCTTCTGAGCTAGTTCCTTATTGCCTCATGAAACATTCCAATCTCATACAACCTTTATTATCAGACTCTTCTTTAGAAACCTGTCAACAGTTTTTTCAAGGTCTCTAGGTGAATAATATCAAGCAGTTCTTTAACTACATGCTATTTATTTCCTCAAGAATTAATTTGTTGAATTTTCTCTTTAAAGACACCATCTTGCCTTCCTTCCCTGAAATTAAGTTAAGCCTGCCTATTTCACAAGTAAACCATAACTTCTTAGGTTCCCTTTAGAAGTTTCATAATGATACTGATCATTGTGATATAATAAAAATTGTATTTTGAGCCCACTGTTCTAGGAACCTTACATTATTTAATTTGGTCCCTATAACAATCCAGTATAGTAGACACTTTTATTCCCATGTTGTACATAGAATAAATAAAATTTCATGAATAATTTGTTCAAAGTCACGCAATTAGAAAATGGTGGAATCAAAGTTTGTATCAGGCTTGTCTAAGCCAAATGCCCATTGTCTTTCCACTCGGATATTTTCCTCCCTTCTTATGCTTGGTGGTTGGTAATGGTGGTGGGAAGGTATGTATGTCACATTTTCACTTTTCTCATCTCCTGGATGAGCAGCCAGTTGTTGTGACTGGTTATGTATCTTGGCTAATGGTCCCTCAATGTCGTGTTGGACTTCCAGGGAACTCAGGTAGGTCTTGAAGTATTATTCTTGCATTCAAACCGGTCATCATCCATCCATCATTTGTCCATCTCACGTTCCTTTACAGTCTGTACACCAGACACTGCTATGTGCTAAACATGTCTTAGACCAAAGAAATGTGTGCCTAGTTTTTGAAATTAAGACACTGGGGAGTTAGTGGAAGAGGCATCGGATGGAGGCAATGGAGAGAAAGGAAAGGAAAGGACTTTCTAGGAAGTCATTGCCCTGGGCCGGTGGGTATGAAGGAGGAAGGCAGGGGAAGATTAATGAGATTTTATACATCAAAATGGGAGTGATAAGGCAGAACCAGTAGAATTTTTCTGTGGCATGAAATACTGCCTGTTTGTGGTACCTTATGATTCTCCGTTCCCTTCTCAGGAAGCTGGTACTTTCAGCTATCTGATATTCTCATTTATTCTCTTCCAAGCCAATTTTAGGAATTGGCCAGCCTAGGTGTTGCCTTTGCATTTTGTGTTCTCTATACAGGTAGCGTCCCCACTTATAAACAACAGAAATTTATTTCTCACACCTCTGGAGGCTGGGAAGTCCAAGATCAAGACACCCCCAGATTCTGTGTCTGATGAGGGCATGTGTCCTGGTTCATAGATGGCTGTCTTCTCCCTGTGTCCTCACATGGTGGAAGGGATCAGGGAGCTGTCAGGGGTCTCTTTTATAAGGGCACTAATCCCATGAGGGCTTTGCCTCCATGACCTAATCACCTCCGAAAAGGCCCTAATACCATCACCTTGGGGGTTAGGATTTCAACATATGAATTTTGGGGGACACAAACATTTAGACCATAGAAATGGGGATGAAATTACTTGAGGTCTAGGATTTTCTTTAAAATATTTTAATTTTTAAGAGTGGGAGAAAGTGAGGCAAATGTGTGAAAATCTTAACGATTGAATCTGGTTAAGGGGCATTTTATACTATTCATTATATATTATATGTTACATATATTCATTATACTGCTTTCTCTACTGCATATTTCAAACTTTTCTTAATATAAAGTTTAAAAATGTAAAGAAAATGACAATAATTTACAGAATAAAATCGATAGGCTGAATTTTCAAGCCACCTTAACCAGGGATACAACATGGAAAGCTAATTTGATTTAAGATTTCTGCATACACTGAAATCCTAGCAAGGGCAGTTAGCTTTAGGATCCAAGAACAGAAGTTTAGTACCCTACTGTCTCACTCCATTTGTGCTGCTATAAAAGAATACCACAGACTGGGTAATTTATAAAGAACAGAAATTTATTTCTCAACAGCTCTGGAGGTTGGGAAGTCCAAGATCAAGATGCTGGCAGTTTTGATTGTCTGGTGAGGTCTGCATCCTCTGTAGGGGAGGAAGGCTGTATCCTCACATGGCAGAATGTGGTAGGGCAAGCTAACCAAACAATGCGTGGAGCCTCTTTCATAAGGGCCCCACTCCCATTCATAAGGGAAGAGCTCCTGTGGCCTAATTACTTCTTTTTTTTTTTTTTTTTTTTGAGACAGAGTCTCACTTTGTTGCCCAGGCTAGAGTGAGTGCTGTGGTGTCAGCCTAGCACAGCCTAGCTGTGGTGTAGCTAGTGTCAGCAACCTCAAACTCCTGGGCTAAAGTGATCCTCCTGCCTCAGCTTCCCAAGTAGCTGGGACTACAGGCATGCACCACCATGCCCGGCTAATTTTTTCTATATACGTTAGTTGGCTAATTAATTTATTTCTATTTATAGTAGAGATGGGGGTCTTGCTCTTGCTCATGCTGGTTTCGAACTCCTGACCTTGAGCAATCCGCCCGCCTCAGCCTCCCAGAGTGCTAGGATTACAGGCATGAGCCACTGCGCCCAGCGCTAATTACCTTGTAAAAACCCCATCTTAAAACTATCATGTTGGCAACACTTGAATTTCAGAGGGGACATTCAAATGACAGCACCTACTAACCATATAAAATAACCATCTATTTCTCTTTCCTTTTCTTTCTCCAAAAATACTTGATTTGATCTTTGCTAAATTACAACTTCAATACAGTCCTGTCCCCTCAAGAATACTCCCAGAGTACCTTTGAGTGTCCCAAACTCTTCAATTACTCATTTACAGCTTCCTAGTTTACTCCAACAGATAACCATTCTCTCCTTTGCATTTAACTTTTGCTAGAATGACTCTATTCTCCATCTTCAAATCTTGAGGGGTGCTTCACAATTGTTCCCTCCCTATACTGACCACATCTCAGATAGCACTGTCTGTTACCCAGCACTCAGCACAGTTAAACCCCATCAGCCAAAGACCACCAGGCACAAGCCTGTAGTCTGACAAAGTTAGGCCTAGTGACTGACAGGAAGGGAGAGTGCTCCAGAACTGTGAACTGCTGTCCTCAACAAGAGCTCTAGCAGCTTCCTTCTCATGCAAATGTCTAATTAGAGAACAAACTTTCCTTGGATGTCTACAAATGAGTTAGCGCAAGAGAGATCATGTTTGGAGGATGAAAGCTAACTTCAAGGGAACAGAGAAAGAGCCCTAGTGACTTCTGGGCTCTGAGCTCTCCCTTATGACTCCTGTACTCTGGGACTGTGGTAGTCACTCAGAGAATGACATATTCCCAGCTGCAGCCAGGAGCTCCTCTCTCCCCTTCTGTTCTTCTTCTGTTCCAGGAGCTAGTTCCAGGAATTGCCTCAAAGACAGACATTTGATGCCTACACCCATGAACTTCTCCTACTTCATCAGGCACTTCAGTCCTGCTGCAGGCCAAGCGAGTGGTGCCTCTATTGCTACCGCCAACAGCAATGGACCTCCATTTCTTCTGCTTCCAGCTTCTGCTTTTGCTTAGGAACTGCCATTCTTGTGATAGTGAGAGACCCTGCTAACTCAACTGCTGGTGCAGCTTCCACTCCTGCCGGCACTTCCACCCATCAGACCTCTTCAGCGCTGAAACCTGAGAAACAGCAGGGCCCCATGACAATTTCTGACCTTGTGGCTGACCTCTGCCCTATTTGCTCAGCTGCAGCCTCCTAGATTGACAGAGATGGCCAAGGCAAAACCACTTCTGTGGCTTACAGATCTTTTTCAAAGGCATGGTTTAATCCGATCCTCTTTCAGCGCTGGAAGGTAGTTATTATTTCTATTTGAAGAAATAAGAAACTAGGTTATAGAGAGGTTAAGTAGTGTGTTCACAGTCACAGAGTTAATGGACAGCCGGACCATGATGTGAACTGAGGTATTCCATGTCTCGGAGGCGTTCATCTGCATCTGAATCCAAGTTATTACCAAGCTTCTATATTTCTATAATTAAAATATTTATGGCAACCAAATTGTATTACCACAAAGAATGACTCATTATTAGCTACAGGCTGAGATTGCTCAGAGCCAAATGTCATATTTTATTATGTGCTGAATTTACTACTTTAAACCAGACATTCCTAATTTTTCCTTGTGATACGTCAATAAATAATATCTACAGTTGATAAATCAAGAAAAATAGGTATAAGTATATATACAAATTCAATGGTAATCAACAGTAAAAAAACCAAAAAACCAAAAACAAAACCCAGAAACTGTTCATAAAACCTGGGTAATGGGGGTGTGGGGTGTAGGGAGGGGTGGGATATTTTTGTTTTTCATTTTAGACACCTCTGTACAGTCTAACTGTTTTTTTGTTTTTTTTTGAGACACAGTCTCACTTTGTTTCCTGGGCTATAGTGCTGTGGTGTCAGCCTCAAACTCCTGGGCTCAAGCAATCCTTCTACCTCAGCCTCCTGAGTAGCTGGGACTACAGGCATGCGCCACTATGCCCGGCTAATTTTTTTCTATATATTTTTAGTTGGCCAATTAATTTCTTTCTATTTTTAGTAGAGATGGGGTCTCGGTCTTGCTCAGGCTGGTTTCGAACTCCTGACCTTGAGCGATGCTCCCGCCTCGGCCTCCCAGAATGCTAGGATTACAGGAGTGAGCCACCGTGCCCAGCCTCAGTCTAAAATTTTTTAACATGTGTATTACTTCTATAAATTAAAAAAATTTAAAAATAGAAAAAAGAAGTAAAATGAAATAAAAACCATCCCACCAATGAGTGGTTGTTTGGTCATATGTAATACTATACAGCCAATAGAAAAATGAGGTACCTCTATACAAATTTTAACTAAGAGAAGCATGTTGCAGAATGATATGGTTAGACTAATACTATTTATTTCAAATTGTGTGTGTGTGTATGTGTAGGTATGCTTACACATCAAACCAGATGGATGGATACATGCCAGAGTGTAGGTAGGGATGATGGGTGAGGAATAGAGGAAGGCTTTGATTATTTACTTTCTA